CTCCAATAGTACCTGCTTAGTCTTTGGTCCATTCCTCCCAAAGTCTATCAACAGCTCCTTCGTCTTGGAGATCTACAGCAGGTGGTTGGTGCGGCACCAGGTGGAAAAGTCCCCCATCAGACTCCTGTACTCTACCTCTCTGACCTGCTTCACCCAATTTGAGAGCAGCTCCAGATCCTTAGGAAAGTTAAACAAGCTGACAACATTCTTATGTGGGCAAAAGCACAAAGCTATGACACAACTACAAGGTATCTTAATCCTTTAAAATGTCAGCATTTGTCCATAACAAAACCACTGTTCCAGCTCTCAGTTGTTCTACCATATACATCACTCCCATTTTCTCCCTCAGTCACTGAGCAGCGTTACCCCTTGCTCACACTGGCTCCGGTGCGGTTACCGAGCCGACGGAGACCGCAACTCCCGCACAACCCCTCTCACACCGCCCTTTTGACTACGGTGCGGTGCGGCTCTGCGGCTCCGGCAACAGGTCCGGAGATTTAACTCGCGAGAACAGAAGTTCACTTGAGTTCACGTAACTTCACGCGATAACACGGCCCAAATGTAAATGAATCAAGTGATGGGGCCACAAAGTTTTGACCCCGTCTTACCAGCAGGCGGCAGTGACGTCATATGGGTTGTACAGAGGGAAGGCGGAGAGAAAGGACAGACAATACATGCAAACGAACGTGTTTTATTTTGGAAAACTTCCTGTTTGAGCCGTGATATTTGCGAGAGCTTGTTGCGGAGGGCTCCGGCACGCCGCAAGGATAGCTTTCTTGCTGAATTTTCTGCAGCGCCGGAGTGTCTCGGTAACCGCAGCTGGACAGCTCAGCAGCCGGTGAGAGAGGTTTACGTCTTTTTAATGACTTTGAATCACTGGGGCGCCGCACCCACCGCACCGCAACGGTAAGACCGGAGTCGGTGTGAGCCGGGGGTGAGAGTTCTCTGAGTGGCAAAGGTTTTACTATATTTTATTTGGGCACTCTTAAAATTACATGGAATTATATTTGTATTAATAATTTGGTCTATAAAAAATAGTAGAAAATGTCAATATAGTGTCAACCATATTTTAAGGCTGGTGGCAATACTTAATAAAGGTGTTTCAACTTTGTTCAATTTCTTCCGATCCCCACTATCTGAAAAAAGCTGTGCTAGGGCAGATTGTGTCAAGGCTCAGAACAGAAGACCCAGATAAATCTAAAACAACAGACCCTAATCAAAATAACCCCAAAGCAGTTCAGGGGGTAACAGACTAGGCTTCCAACAGCAGCTCACGCAGACGTGAGAGTAGCCTGAAAACAGAAAATCTAACAACTCATGTAAGCTGGACATGAGCTGAGAATTACATAGTTCAATGTCAGAACACCACAGATGGCCCATGTTTGGCCAGATTATTCTGTCACAGCTCACAACAGAAGACCCAGTATTTAAGGCAGACAGTGGGATTACTAAAAAAAGCATTTATTTAATATCGGATCTGCAGTATCAGCGGCTAGAGTGTCTAAGGTAGGAACCTCTACAGGTGACAAAACACAGGTTGGTGACCACAATAATCTGACAGAGGATGATTATCCATGTGTGAGTCACTAACCTGGTTTAACAGGATCAGTCCGTGCCCAGAAAACAAGGTACTGTAGGATCCAGCCACTGGGCTGCCAACCAGATGCTGCAGGGCAGCCCAGGGTGTGCCAGATGCTGCAGCCCCGGAAAACGGAGAACAAGCAGGAGTCCGAAGCCAGGTTAGGCAAACAGATCAGAACAGGAACAGGCAGCAATGAGAAGCTAGGTCATTCAAATAGATCAGAACAGGAACAGACAGTGTTGGGCACGTTACTTTGAAAAAGTAATTATTTATAGTTACTTGTTACTTCTCCCAAAAAGTAACTGAGTTACTTACTGAGTTACTCCACAATGAAAGTAACTAGTTACTAGTAAAAGTAACTATTGCAGGCTGTTACGTTCCTTTAGCGAGCATGCGAGTTTCCTGTCGCTTGCGCGGAGAATCGTGCAGCCTGTGCTGTGCAGAAATGCAGGGGAAACCATATCTATTGGGGAAACGCAGCTCGGTGTAACAATGGTATTTCCTCCTGGAAAACGCTGTTTTGCTGCTGGATCCTCCTCACTCTCTATCTCTCTGTGTGTGCTGTACGTTAACACCTGTAACAGCCAATCTCATCCTCCGCTCTCTCATGCACGGCGCTCACGAGTCCTATCATGAAAAAAAGGTTAATTGTGCGACCTAAGTAACGTGCAGTAACGGGGTGTCGGCAATGGTAACTGCGTTATAGTTACAGTCAAAGTAATTAGTTAGATTACCTCGTTACTAAAAAAAGGTAACGGCATTAGTAACGCCTTTATTTTCAATGCTGTTACTCCCATCATTCGGAAAAGGCATGCTCAGTGGTTGAGAGGCAGACTATGTAATGCTAGCCCACACTCCCCTCTGGCTCGAGAGAGTAATGTCACCCTAATCACTGGTAGCAGGCAGCTTAAATAGAGGCAGGAGCAGGTGCATAAAATGAGCAGCAATGATAAACTGGGCAAAGTTTGAAAGGTGAGGGAAATCAGTAATTAAGCCAGTCATCAGTACCAAGGTCATGACACATTGTGGTACTTTTAGGATTCTTTTGTTTTAATTACTACTGAAAATGCTTGTCATGGACTGCTCAATGGAAAAGTGGGTAGCACTCCTTCCTTGCAGCAAGAAGGTCCCGGGTTTGTTTCCTGACAGGGGTTATTTCTGCATGGATTTTGCATGTTGACCCTGAGCATGCGTGGGTTCTCTCCGGGTACTCCAGCTTCCTCTCACAGTCCGGAAAAACATGACTGTTAGGTTAATTGGCTTCTCTAAGTACTCCTTAGGCTGCAGCACCATGATATACCCTCTCCAGTTTGGCAGACTCCAATAAGACAGCCAAAAACATAGGTACAAGCTGTGCCAGAACTATCTCAGAAAAAAGGAAGATGAAAGGAAGATGATGATAAGCTTGAAAACAAGTTGCCAGCACAGCCTCAGGATTTAAACCCTGATGATTTGGGATTATTTGGACAAGAGGTTAAAAAACAACAGCAATAAATTTTGCTCATTTGTTGGAAGTTCTTAAAAAGATTCTGAAGAATGTTTTGAGAAATATAGAATTTCTCTGAAGCAGGGGTCTGCAAACTTCACAATCCAAAATAGTCATTTCCTGTTTCAGTGCGACTAATAATCTAGTTTAGGGGCCTGGTCGGGGCTCCTGCCGGGGGGTGGGGCACCCCTGGGGCCTTGTGTCCCTGGGGCCCATGGCCAGATCACTTCGAGGTGGCTGATTTGTCCCTGCGGCTCCAGAGGGCTCCGGTATTGCGGCGGCTAGAGGTTTTCCTCTGGGCCGTTTCTCTCCTCCTCCTTTAGTGGGGGGTCGGACTTCCTGGGTTGGCCCCTCCTGTGCGCCTTTGCCTTTTGGATCCCTTTGGGTGTCTGGGGTTTTGCCTCGGTGCTCTGGGGGGGTACGTCTTTGGCTCTTCACAACCACTATTGAGCATTTTTCCTTTGGATAAATTTTACATGCACAAGTGCACTCTCACAAACAACTACAGGTACTTGTCTCCAGGTACTTAGCGATTCACTTCCAAACAGAAAGCCCATATTCTGATCTTCAGCTACCACAGTATACATGTCAGATTATATAATACTACCTATATTTCAGCGATAGTATGAAGATGTTACTTTATTGTATGTCTTATATCAAGACAATAAGAATTATTGCCACATTGCCCAACAGGACATTGTTAAAAAAATAAAAATAAGCTTGTTTCGAGCAGTAAACATTTTCAGACCCTTTTGTTTATATATAAAAAACTTATAACTTAACCTATAACTTATAAAATGTATATCTAACTTATTCAAGATAAAAAATGTTTTTTTTATACAATTAAGAGTCAGTTTGTGAATGAATAAAAAATGTCCAACTAACAAAACTCGTTCACAGACATCACTTTACCTTTTTTACAAAGAGAAAAGATAACTTATATTTAATCATCACAGGAATTAAGTCCTTTTTAAATAACTACAAAGCCATTTCAAACTTTAGGTCTTGGAAATGAAGGAAAGAGCTTGCAAAAAGACAAATTGGTTGTTGATGTTGCTGGAAAATCATGTTAAAAAAAAACATTGCACTTGTTATGAAAGATCAAAAAATATATTTCTTTCATAATCAGAGACATTTTTAGCTAGCTCCTCATCATTTTTAGCCAAAGTGTTAAGGGACTAAACCATTCGTAGCCCTGAAGCCATAGGCTGCAAATCCCTGCTTTAACAAATGTCACTTGCACTCTTATATCTGCTGCCAAAAATGGCTATACTTTCTTTGGTGAGTGGAAATGTAATAATATATTTTAGTTGATAAATTAATTTCATGATTCCTATTTTTAATCTAACTGCTTACTCACTACCTACTTTCATTACAGACTGCAAACATGACGCTGAAAATTTTCAATTAAAGACAGGAAATATTTGTTTTAAAACTTTTGATTGGTTTCACCATAGATAAGATATTTTCAAACTTTTTCTTGACACTATACAATTTCTATTTTAAAACTGTTTTAATATTGGTGTAATTTTTTTAAGCAGATAATTTTATTTACTATAAGCCTTTAAAAAAACGAATCACAGGCTTTAAACTAAAATACCGTGTCAAATTTAGTAAATACTCCAATTGATTAAAGAGCAATTTTTTTTTTTTTTATCAAATAAGTAATTGCGTCTGTCATTTCTGTGTAAATAAGCAGCCTTGGGATCACCTGGGAACCTCTAAAAGCTGCCCCTCGTTTCCAATATTAACAATAATGATGATAAGAAACAGGAATTTCTTGATCTGTCAAAGAATGTGTTTATGTAAAGGCGAAAGTTTGTCCCCTACACGTGCACAGCAGGTCACCCCCAGTCAGTCGTGCGTCAGTGGGGACAGCCTCGGCCAAATGGATCGTGTTAGTTAAATGTAGTGTGTTGGTGACGGAGACAGCGAGGGCGAGTTAGTGCTTCCGTTACTCCGAGGGTAAAGAAAGGAGGAGGGATTTGACCGGAGCAGTGTGTCTGCTGTGAGTTCACAAGCGGAACAGCGCCAACTCCTCTGCTGCGCACAGTCTGGACACAACTCCCGCCACCTTTAAAAAACTGCAAGGTTTTATTTTCTGCGCTCTGCTTTTTACAGTGTTCTTGTCCTCTTAGTCCCCGGCGGCGCGCTCTTCGGCTCGCCGGCTTTTTGCGCACGGACGCGTGTCCAAATTCCGCCACTGGTCACCGCTGCGCTGCGCTGCGCTCCTTTCACTCAGCTTAGCTACTCCCGAGCATTAGTTGCAGCTCAAAAATATTTATCTCTCTTTAATTTTGTTTCTTTTTTGTCGCTGGACTAAAGAGCTGTGATATTTTTTCTCATGGGTATTTAGTGTCGTGACACGCTTTCAGGAGTCGGCGCCTCCACAGAGAAATGGTGAGTGAACTCCACTTCATTACCAGGGTCCTTCTCTCTGCCCGCTCCCAGTTTGTTTATATTTTGCTTTTAAGGGTTAACTCTACTGATAAACTGTCATTCACACACTGAATGAAGAATCTGCACTGCAAATATGGAAATCTAAATAAGTTAATTTTTTCTTTAACTAAGGGCATTTGTTCTTGAATTGAGGTGAGACAATTTATTTAATTTACATTTAAAATAAGAAAAAAAACAACTGTATTGTCTTATTACTAGTGCATATTATCTAATTATCTTACTTTAAGAGTAAAAATACTCCATTGGCAAATTATCCTATTTACCTACTAAAATTAAGAGTAAATACACTTGATTCAAGAAATTTTTACTTACTTCTAGATCATTTTTTCAGTTTTCTCCACCTGTCACTTGCAGAAAAATTAAAATTAGAGTTGGAATTACCCAAATGAGTGGGAAAAAATAAAAAAAGATGAAAGCAATTCTTGTATTTTGTTTATCCTTTATGTTCCATCGGGTCTGAAGTATAAATGTAAAACCTGTACTCATAAGACATCATCCAGAAGGATTTAATTGATAAACTCCAATAACACCGCAAATTAGTGGTTGCCAAGTTTTATTTAAATTCTGTTGTAAAATCAACCCCTCTGCCTCACCATCTAATGCCAGTTTTTTAAACATTTGACCCCTGCAGAATCAGGCGGGGTTGTAGTTACACTTTTAAATCGATCAGTGATCTATTGATAAGGAGAGCTGTGAGTGCATGCACGGAATAAGCTGTCACATGCTGCTTGCCTGTTGGAGCAGGAGGCTGGATAGAGACGTTGAATCCAGTGAGTTGAACAGTCATTGGCTGGAATTATGTTAATGTTTTGTTAATTGTGGATATTTTTTTATGTTTATTTCCTAAAATTTGACTCTACATGTTTATGTGTTCTTTGGAGGTGCTTTGCATGGGAAACACACTATTTGTCAACTTTTTAATTGTCAAGGTGATAGGAAATGACCAGTCTTTGTATGAAAAATGTCAGTATAGAAGGCTTTGATTTGAATTCTCTTTTAACAAATGTGGTAATCTTTACATGTCTGCAACTGATTCCGAAGTCCTATATTTTTATGGCATTTTTGAGTTCCCCACTCTTTTAGAACAGTTTTGTGCTCAAGCACTTTCCTTTTGAGCGAACGCTGTGATTGCAATCTTTTATGTAATATTTATGGTACAGTCTCGCAGTCAGTTTTCCATCGATCAAAGGTTGAGGTACATTGTGTTGTTGGGTTGGTCCAAATGGTGATAGGTGGATCACAGCTTTATAGTTTACAGACTTCAGTTTGCAGCTCAAATCAACAACTCATCTAGACGAGCTGGAGAGCTGCCAGAGTGCTGCAATTGTACACACACATGACTCCAGGTGTTACTGTTGGGGATAGGGCTCCTTAAAAAAAATCAAGATTCTCTGTTGTTGTTTTTCTTAGCTGATACTGTTCAATGCAGAAAATGGGCCATTCCCTGCCTCTCTGAAAGTGAAATTCCTTATATATAGGCCAATATTAAAAAGCTCTTCTCAAGATGTACATGTGATAGTTTTCACTTTCCATTCTTTGCTGAGGCATTTCTCTATCACTAATTGTAGCTAGTAATGAAAGCTTCATACTTTTAGTTTTAATAACTTATGTTGTTTGTAGGGCTGCAACTAACGATTATTTTGCAAATCGATTAATCAGTTGATTATTTTTTTATTAATTGACCATTGGATAGCAAAAGGTTCCTTGAAAAAAGATTTTTTTATGAAATTAAACCAGGTGAAACTAAAACTTCTCCACTTGAGGAGTTCTGGATAGAGCATATTGATAGATGAAAACGTTTTTTGATCTTAAATGTAAAATGTTTATATATAGTTTTACAATCTTGGTATAATTAATACTTTAAATGGGTTGCTCTGACAGCTAAAGGCATGCTTTACAGTCTCTATATTCCGGCTAGAGATTAATCAATTACTAAATTAGTTGACAATTATAACAATAATTGATTAATCATAATTAATCTAATTTATTGTTTCAGCCCTAGCTGTTTGATAAGGATGAAACTTGACTTTTTGGAGAAAAATAGTAAAAAGTTCAAAACTCATTTGCATATTTTATTGTTTTTCACTGAAGCCAGTCAAAATAAAGTCTCTGAATGAAATATTGTACCCTGTGAAATCTTTTAAATATTTTGGTGTGATTTTGACATTTTATGATCAGTTGTCCACTAAGCTGACCCACTGGTGAGATTTTATTCTGCATCCACCTTTTGGATCCCGTCAGGGGAATGTTATGCAGTGATGAAAGCATAGCGCTATTTGTTTCTTGGGCTATGGTGGTGAAGGGTGGCAGTCACCAAAAACAGACAGTTGATGGCTTCTTTTTGATTGAAATTATTCTTGATTCATGAATACAAATACATCTTAAGCTTGTTGACATATTCATTGAGATTTCGTTTGTTTAAGATTTTTATTTTCAGTAGATCAACAACTATTTCAGCATTCGGTTTTCTTAGTCCAAGTAAATGGATTTCATTTTGACATAAAAAAGAAAAGTAAATTATCAACAAGTACTTGCAAAAAACATGCGAGAATCACATACTTTTGCTCTATTATAAAGAAAAGTTGAAAGAAATCAGAGCTTCACACTATAGTAGATAACCTGGCGTGGTCGTTTAATTTTGTTGCAATGCCAACTGTCTTTGTTTCTATCTCCTGCAGATGTATGATCTATGAATCAGAAATCTAGCAGCTGACACTTTCATTACAACTGAGGACACAAATTAATTTTTTGTTGTTGCTGTTGTAATTATGGACATTCTTTGTGCTCTCAGCCATAACTGACAATGCCAGCAGTGATGCCTTTGTGAGCCTAAACAGTAGCCAAGTAACAACTCAGACTCACCCTACTTATCTATACAAGTGGTCAATTACATAACATGATTGCATGTGTTCCAGGATCTTATCTATTTAAACAACACTTTTTTTTCTTTTTTTCTTAATGATGACAAAAATAATAGATAAACTGATTAAACAAAATAATAATCTTACATACACAAGGTTGTGCGTTCATTTCAATGAATAAGTGTCTAAATATTTGCATTTTATTATTAATTTTGCCTCTCTTCATGTAATGCAATATTTTTATATATTAATACCCAGGGCTATACGCAGTGCCCAAAGAATACTGAGGTCAGGAGTCAGTCACTTCTAGGTGGGTTCAGTGGCGTGGTCCTGTTTTTAAAGTTTTTAATTCCATTATTTAAATCTGGCCATTTTCAGAGTCATAAGGGTATTGCAGTCTAACAAAGACCTCAACAGCTCCACATGACTAAGGGTTGGCATAAAATGAAATTAGTTTTGTGGGTTCCAGAGGAGCCCAATGTCCAAGTATGAAGTACTAAATGCTATAAATGAATTGATTTATAAATATTAAACAACATAAAATATGCACATTTAAGCAATCATCTACAACATTACAGCAATTGTAGATAAAAAATATGGCATTTTGAGGCTTTTTTGTTTCTGCGCACAACTTCCTGTCCCGTGGATCTGCTCTGTGCCGTCGTGCTGCATTGAGCTTCAGCATCCGGCAGAAATATAAAACAGTTCAGCATTTAACATTGAGAAATTAATGCTAAATAAAAATTTTATTTTCAGTTCAAGATGTTGCTTACATATCAATAGCATAATGAATGTTGATTCAGCTGCTGGAAGTTGACTGACCGCCATTACAGACAGAGTAAAATCAACTTTGGTTAGATGTCCCCTTTCTGTCTGAATAGCTTGCTGGGCTGAAATTTTTTCTAATGAAAATGCTTGTTTTTCTCACCTTCATCTACAACTTAAACTGCTCTACTACATCTGCATTTGTAGCTTGATGCTCCTATTCTAGGGACTGCCATGACTGACGGACTCACTAACAGCATCTGTAGCCTGCGTGTGGCAGTTACTATAGCAAAATCATGTGTTGAGGATGATGTGCAGCACATATGCCCAAACCCTTGAGCTACTTTTTTTGTTAAATAGTCGCAGTAGACTTGGCTTTTCAAACATAAAATATCTCACAGTTTTGTAGGAGACCTATGTCATTGTTCTACACTCAGTTTCAGTGTAATTTATTTTTAGTTTATATATCACAATTTAAGCAAAATAAAAAATAAAATATACAGAGGACATGACCTTGATTTCCTCAATGGTAGTTACGGCCCTGTTTATACACCTGCCTTGTGTTCAAACATATTCTGATAGAAAAGCACAGTTAAGCAGAGGAATTAAATCCGATGAAAGCTTTAAAGAGTTTCTGCTCTACCCAAAGGGGGGTGGTGGAAGGGGCGAATAGTGTATTGAGGGGGTATTGCTGGGGGTTGTCTGGTCCGGGTGTGGGGTGGGGGTCCGGGCCAGAAGCAGGAACTAGATCAGGATTATTATTATGTGTGAATGTGCGTCCGCATTTTTTTGTTGTTGTTGTTCTTCACAGAGACTGTGTGTTGTGAGTGGGGGCACTAGTGTGGGAAGGCGTGATTGACACTGTGTATTTTTTTATTTTTTTGTCAGGTTGGGGTCTGAACTGCTCCCTTTCCCAATAACATTTGGCACCTGGGCTCGCCGGTGCACTGGTGGTGCTCGGTGTTTGGGGGTGGAAGCACCAGGCGGGGCCTGGCCTGCTGGGGCCTGGCCAAGGCTCCTGTCTGGGGGGGGGTGCCCCTGGGGCCTCTGGTCCCTGGGACCCATGGCCGGATCCACTTCGGGATGGCTGGCTGCTGGCGGAGCCTGCAGACTAATTCCTGCGGCTCCAGGGGGCTCCGGCATTGCGGTGGCTTGGGGTTTTCCTCGGGGCCAACTCTCCTCCTATCTTTCCTGGGTTGGCCCCTCCTGTGCGCCCTTTGGGATCCCTTTGGGCATCAGGGGCTTTGTGTACCCAGGCGCTTGCCTTGGTGCTCTGGAGGGGGTTGTCTTCGGCTCTTCACAACCACTATTAAC